CTATGACAGAGAGAGAGAGATTTGTGTGTTTTTAAATTTGGGTTTCAGAATTGTTAAAGCTGATATGTGTAAACTTGCTCTGGGTTTTCAAGTGTTCTACATTTCCAGAATACCCTTTAATCCTCACTTCTTTCCTGTTGCAGTGATTTGCTGTCCTCTGAGTACATAGAGAGACACATTGAACATGGAGGCAAGACTGTGGAAGTTAAAGTAAGTAAAATTCTCCTCCCTCTGGGGAAATATTTTTGAGAATCTTTAAACGCTACTGATTATAATTTCAGTTTTCAATGATAATTCTATTAAGTTTTGAGGGTTTTTTGTATTTTATAATTTATCAAGAAGGTATCACCTACTTGTCAAAAAATAAAATAAAACTTGTTAGCTATCAGAAAAAGAATTCTTAGTGTATTGTAGGAATTGTTGAAGTTATATTTTGTAGATTAACATAGCTACATATAGTTCTTTTGTAAATCATGCCACAGAACATACTTTCTGGAATTTGCCCCTCAGGTTAGTATTGAGGACCAAAAGGTGGATTGGGAATAGGTGCATAGTTGTCTATTCAAATGAGAATGACTTTCTCCTGGTAAAAGAGTAATGTTGTTAAGTCTACTGAAAACCAAAAACAGGGAGTTTAAAATACCTGGAGTAAAAAATACGAGGATATTGGTTCTTGTCAAGTAAGCCCTTAAAAGATTACACTCAACTTCCTGGACAAAGGCACCAGAGTGTTGGAGTGTGTGTGTGTGTGTGTGTGTGCATATGTTTATGTTTCCACAGTCTGCTGATGGTATAATCTAAAGGTGGTTGTGGTTGTTGTTAGGTGCCGTCATCAGGTCAGTTTCAACTCATAGCGACCCTGTGCACAATAGAATGAAACACTGCCTGGTCCTGCTCCATCCTCACAATCATTGCGATGCTTGAACCCATTGTTGCAGTCGCTATGTCAATCCATCTCATTGAGGGTCTTCCCCTTTTTCACTAACCCTCTACTTTACCAAGCATGTGCCACCAAAAGCTGCCCCAATTTAGGGCTCCTTTCTGTCTTATGCTTAGTATACTTAGTTGAGGCCAAGTGTTGATTTTCTTCTGAACAGTATACAGACTATTCTGTTTAATTAGAATTATAATGTTATTTGTATATATTGATTTTCTTTCTCTGATTATAAATTTGATACATGTTCATGGCAGAAACTTGTAAAGAATAAAAAAGTATAATAAAAAAGGGAAAATCCCACTTACATTCATCATCACTGATAAATAACACACGTGCACATGCACACACATTATATGTGTGTATGTGTACATATATATATATACATATATATATATATGTATATATATATGTATGTATGTATGTATTTTTCTTTCTGGGCATAACTGGGATCATACATATCTACAATATTGTATCTTGCTTTTTACTAAACAATGTATTGTAAACGTTTTTCCCAAGTTATTTTCACATAAAGCCTATGTTCACTGCTTTTCAATGTAAGTATATTACTGCAATATAGAGTTGTTTATTCAAATTAAACACTGTAGTCAGTGACCAAAATAAATTATGTTGTCCTATTCAAATGATATCCTGAAGGTAATTGAGTCTTTTCAATCATATACTAACTAGAAAGAATAAAACTTTTATTATGGAATATCTCAAACATACAGAGAAGTGAGAAAATATGTTATAATTAACCCCTATATATCCATCATGCAGCTTCAAGAGTTATCTACCTTTTACCAGTCTTTTCTGTCTCCCTTACTTTTTTTTTCTGCATAGAATATTTTAAGACAAATCCTAGACATTAGGGCATTCTCCAGTCAATACTTCATAAAAGACTCAAAGCAAAATCTGTTAATTTTTACCAGTGGTCTAGGCATAATAGTTAAGTCACTTCTTCCAGAAAGTTATTATAACCTTGTTAAGACTGACTGATAGAATGGTTGATTGATTTATATCACAGCCTTTCTGCAGTGTGACATAGGAGAATGGAGCCATTTTGCTTATAGTTGGAAAAAAAAAAATTACCTAAGACCTGAGATTTAGATTATCGTAATTTATTTTATTCTCATCTCTGTATATTTGGCTTTACTTCTCTATTCTTTATGATAGCGTTTTTCTGAATGCAAAATATCTCTTATTAGTGAAAAAAAGAACCCAAAGACTGGAAAATTTTTTTGATAATGACATATTGGACAAAGAGCTAATCTCTAAATTTTATGGAAAACTTCGATAGCTTAACAACAAAATTAATTAATATCATAATAAAAAAAACCAAAACCAAAAACGAACTCACTGCCATCAAGTCAAACCCGACTCATAAGCAACCCTTCCTTGGGTTTCCAAGGCAGTATCACTACGGAAGTAGATTGCCCAACCTTCCTTCCAAGGAGTGGCTGGTGGGTTTGAGCCACTAGCCTTCTGGCTAGCAGTCCTTAGGCATTATGCTACCAGAGCTCCTATATTCTGTGATAGCTATGAAAATCAAATGCATTTTACTTACACATTTTATAAAACAAAAAAAACCAAACTCACTGTCATTGAGTTGATTCCAATTCATAGTGACCCGCTTTGGGTTTACAGAGTGGTAAATCTTTATGGAAATAGATTGCCCCATCTTCCTTCCATAGAGCAACTGGTGGCTTTGAGCTGCCAACTTTCTGGTTAGCAGTCAGATGCCTTAGGCACCATGCCACCAGATCTCCTTATACTTATTATATGCATATCTAATTATTTTTGGAGTACCTAACACTTATTCCTTAATAGTCTTTTATCTTTAAACTCAAATAGTCCTCTCCTTAAAGATCCTTTGGGTATTTCTCTCAAGTTTGGTTATACATTCAGGTAGTTTTTGTCTGAATTCTTTTGCCTTGGTCAAAAATGGGAAAGACACAGTACCATCCAAAGTTACTTTTATTTATCTTTGAATGGAAATCTCAGAAAAATAGTCATTGTATCATATCAGTTTTAGAACACTAGGAGGGGAATAATAAATTCTTATATGTGTCAAGAATATGTGTAGCTTGGGGAGGAAGAAGATTTCTTTGGGGATCAAAAAGTGAAAATAGACATATTGGAATGATACTTATCATCCATGAATAATCATGATCAATCAGCAACATTATTAGTTTTGACAGTATTTTCTTTTTGTTTAATTTATTCAATCTCCTATTATAATCAAAAGTAATGTCTGTTTTTTTTTTTT